GATGTTGAGGTTCTCTTTAGGAGTGACCAGGATGGACAGGATTAGGAATGAGCACATCAGAGGGACAGCTCAGGTCGGCTGTTTTTGGGGACAAGGTCAGAGAGGCCAGATTGAGATGGTTTGGACATGTGCAGAGGAGGGATAGCAGTTATATTGGTAGAAGGATGTTGGAGATGGAGCTGCCAGGCAAGAGGTCAAGAGGAAGGCCAAAGAGGAGATATATGGATGTGCTAAAAGAGGACATGAAGTTAACTGGGGTGAGAGTAGAGGATGCCGAGGATAGAGTTAGGTGGAAACAGATGATTCGCTGTGGTGACCCCTAACGGGAACAGCCGAAAGAAGAAGTCCCAGATGAGTTTCATTACAAATTAAAGACGTATTACATGCTTGAAGTATAATTGAAGTATAGTATTATTTTTGAAAAGGTATCAATAAAATAATAATTAAAATAATTTCAGATTTAGGTTTTTTTCTCATCTTTTTTTGTGTTCCAATGCAAACAAAAGAAATAAACATGAGAATACCAAAGAATTTGTGATTGCAACAATTTTCTGGGAGAAGTGGTTCCTTATCTGGCAGAAATGCAGGCCTGCCAATATTTTTGGCCATGTCTATAGCTATTAGCTTAAAAAGCTTGCTATAGTTAGATTAGATTAGATTCGATTCAATTTTACTGTCATTACCCATGTACAACTACAAGGCGATGAAATACGGTTAACATAAACTGGTGATGGATGACAGACTGCGCAAAGCTGAAATGATGGCTTCTTGTGCAACTTTATGCTCATTTAGTGGGGGGTTTGATAGTTTACTCTTAGTGACTTTTTACTTGTGAAGATTTTATTGCACATAGAGTAACAAGCTTAGGTATTGTCACCTCAAGTAATGTTTCACTTCACCCAATGTGAGCAAGAAATGCTTACACTGTAGAGTACTGCAGTGGTGTGCAAATTTTTAAGACACAAGAGCATCATAACAAGAGTGGAATGGAGTGTGGCACAAGAATAATTTTGTCTTGATGATTTTGTTTTCATAATTGTTGGAAGCCAAAATTGTAACTAAAATTAAAATTGCAGCCTTACAAAATAGGTGGCATTATGAAGAAAATCCATCCATTGTCTATACTGCTTATTTCTGAATAGGGTCACGGGGAGGCTGGAGCCAATCCCAGCTGACATTGGGTGAGAGGCGGGGTACACCCTAGACAGGGCGTCAGTGTATCACTGGCCTGACATGCAGACAAGCAACCACACACGCTCACACTCACTCCTAAGGGCAATTTAGAGTTGCCAATCAACCTAAGCTGCATGTCTGGACTGTGGGAGGCAGCCAGAGTACCCGGAGAGAACCCGTGCAGGCACGGAGAGAACTTGCAAACTCCACACAGAAAGGGCCTGTGTTGGCCGCAGCCCTAACCCGCTAGCCACTGCGCTGTGTTGCCGCCCTTTGAAGAAAATATTTATTAATTTTAGTGAAATCATAATCATTTAATTTATGGGAGTTTTAGTCAACAAAAAAACGGATGGAATTTTTTTCAGTGACATTTCAGTTTCATTTTCGTCCTGCATTCGTGTCAGTTATAGTTTGAGTATTTGCATTTTGAGGCTACAATGGTCATCATTTGTGTTGTGTACAGTTATGCAGGTTACAGGTGTCGTTCTTGTCTGTGCGGCCGTGGTTATTAATGGCAGTGGAACACATCAAAGGCTAAATCAACTTTTGAACAAGAGATGCTTAGGTAGTGGAGGAAACATTTACTTTTTAGGAGCCACAGTTAGTGATTCCACAGATGCAACTTTACACTGAGATGGTTTTTATTTCATGTGGATTTGTCCATATTTCACATTTTCATAACATTTTTATTATGTGACAAAAAGTAATATTTGTCATAGTTTTCATTTTCAAAGATGACTTGTAGTCTTGTTTTTCTTGTGAAAATAGTTTCAGTTAATTTTTTTGTCATAGTTTTTGTTGTTGAAATTAACACAGGACCTCGGATCTGTGCATTTAAGATGGATGTATACCAAATGATATTTACCAGCTTTAGTCACACAATTAGAAATAGCATATTGTAGTGGTCTACAGAATTTGAAGTGTGTGTCTATACATTTGTAATGCTGTATATTGAGCTTGTGTCCTAAATCAGCAACACCTCAGAATTATCAGTGATACCTGTTGTTTTTCTATGAACTATGCAGGTGATTGAAAATCACAGCAGGCAGCAGGAGAGACAAAGACAAGATGACACAACAGAGCTGGAACAGAGAGAAGAGGAGGAGGTGGCAGAGGACGAGGAGGAGGATGAGGAAGATGAGGAGGACAGGGTGGAGGAGGGAGACATGACTAGCCCCGAGGTGTCATTAGCCTCCCAGAGCAGCCCTTACACTGATGGCCGCCTGGTGAAGTCCCACAGTGAAGCTCCAATTGGGTCACCTAAAGGTTAGTGAACTTCACTGCTCAGTGTCCAAAACATTGTGTGACTCATCTGCATACTAAAAGCAAGACTTTTACTTTTTATGTGTCCCAGTGGCATGGAGTATTCTGGAAGAAAACATTACAACCCCAGTTTCATCAGTCACCTAATACAATACCTCCCTATAACTTTTAACTGAGCCTGAATTTAATTTTCTTATTCTCTTTTGCTTCGGTCAGTTCATCATTATGTGTTTGGCCAATAAATCCTGTGTAAATAAGGTTTAAATGTGGAGAAAAAAACAGGAAATAACATATATAATATAACAAGTCAACTTATTGACTTTTAATACCATGCTATTAAATGAATAGAATAGATTAACTAATTCAGGATTTTAATAAATAACCTTTTCTTTTGCTTGTTCACAAAGTAAAGTGATTTTTGTCTGCTTTATTTTTTGTGCATTTATTAACTGAGGTCTGACAAGTGCTGCGTGTCACCACATTCTAGTAATATCATGTTTCAGCAGAACCATCCAGAGCTGAACAGCAGAGAAATGGGTGAACAGTCTTTGGCAGATGTTATCACTCAGCAGGGCAGTGATACTGAAAGTTTGCCAATGTTGTGCTTTGACTGGACTTGCTTGCGGTTTAGATGGAATGTACACCAACACTGAGTTTGGAAACATGCACATACTTACAGTAAGATGTTTTACTGAAATAATTTCAATTAAAGGTAGAAGCAAGTGTAAGGGATATGTTTCACGTTTTAGATTCCTCAAAGCAGCCACAATTGGCCTTGATGACAGCTTTGCACGCTACCATAATATCATAACCAGCAACTAGAGAAATTTTCTCTGTGTGTTTGTACTAGGGGTGTAAAGGTGCACATATTTGTACCAAACCATTTGGTGCAGAAGTGTACTGAATGCAATCTTTATTAGTATTGAACAATCAGCTTGTTTTGCATGTGGAACAATTTTTCAAATCTTTCCACATTAACACATTAAGTGGCACACCAAAGTGCAATAATGGTAAATTGAGATTTCAGACATTTATTAATCATCAGCATTTTTTGTCATCATTAACTGCTGTAGAACCATGCAATGAACATTTTCTACCTGCATTGTGGGATTGTTAGTAAAAGTACTGTACATGGCATGTACACTACTTTTTATGTTCCATTGTGGAATTTTTGAGTGTACTAATGGATAGATTTACAGACAGAATTCTGACACCACTACAACATGGTGAACACACTAGGGTGAATAGAGTGATTTCAGCCACAGCAACACATACCACGCTTAGCTTGGCCAATCCTCTGGCTAGTGAATCTCATGGCCAACTAGACAGCTCTCAGTCAGAGAGTGCAAACTCCGCCAAGGGTAACTCAGTTTCCCTATAATGCCATATAAGTAATAATCACATGATAGTTTGACCCTCATATATGACAGCTAGACTATGACAACTTAATGTTGGCATTTAGACTGATGCTGATATCTTTATTAGTTTGAAAACGGTTCAGTTCAATTCAGTTTTGTTTGTGTAGCACCTATTCACAACAGTCATCTCAGGGCACTTTACATAGTAAGGCCTAGATTTTACAGTATTATAGGGAAAATGCAACAAATCCCCCTTGAACAAGCACTCAAAAAAACTGATAGTCATGACAGACATTCACTTATTGATTTAGGGCAGAGGTGTCAAACTCAATCGCACAGGGGGCCAAAACTCAAAGCACACTTTAGGTCACGGGCCGAACAGGATAAAAATTTATTGAACAGACTAAAACTAAATGTTTTTTGAACATAAATATGAATCGAAACAGACAGGGTACAACATTATTCCAAAATAAATAAACTTGAACTTAAAATCAGCAACCGTATTTCTGCTAAGGCTTACATTTGCAAACACCTGCTTTTTGTCTGGACACAAGACGTCTTCGCTTTGGTGAAAACGTCTGCTGTGATGTCAGATTCCTCTTCAACTCCTCTACCTTTTGTAGCTTCTGCTCTGCATTCACGTTTTTCAGCTTGTCCTGATGTTTTGTCTCGTAGTGCCGTCTTAGGTTATATTCCTTAATTACATCCACATTAGCTCCACAAATAAGACACACGGGTTTACCGACAATGTCAGTAAACATATACTCAGCCTCCCACCGGTTTTGAAGGGCTCTGTTTTCAGAATCAACTTTTCTCTTGGCCATTGTTAGGGGCTAGCTTTGACTTGAAATTAGGGTTGTATACATCAACAGATGCTTGATTGATCTAACGTAATTGACGCGGAAATGATCGCAGGTAGCCTATCATTCGGTAAGGCAGCTGTTGCGCTGCATTATGGGATTTGTAGTTTGTGTTATCAGCGCTTCATATCGCCGGGCCATTAAAAAAAAGATATATAAAATGATCTCGCGGGCTGGATGTAATTGTATGCCAGGCCGGATGTGGTCCGCGGGCCTTGAGTTTGACACGTGCTCTACAATGACTGCACCTCAGGGACTCCTATGTTAAACTCCTGAAGTTTGCAGGTGACACAACGGTCATTGGTCTCATCTGAAACGGTGACAAGTCTGCCTATAGATGGGAGGTTGAACAGCCCGTTTTTTTTTTATTCTCGCAATATTATCTTGTTTTCTTGTTTACCTTACGGAGGAGCACCAGTTCAGTTGACGGTGGAATGAGCAAAAGTAACTTAATAATTATTCATGCCTTATATATCAAATTATCAACCAAATTATTAACCTCAATTTTGAAGGATGAGTTCTTGTCAAAACAGTGACCTTGGCTTTACAAACAACCGAATTTTATGCTTTTATAAAAAAACAAAAAAACAAACAAAAAAAAACAACCAGATGGTTACCAAATGGAATGGGACTGAAAAGGGCAGAACACAAAATAAATTGGTTGAATGAATATTAAATAGTCTGATTGATTTGACCCGATAGCCATATCCTAATGATTATGGTGAGAGGGGAATTATGGATTCTTAATAACAAGGAAAGTTGGGAGAAAGTGTTTTGAATTATCATTGCTACAAAAAGGGAAGGATCATGAAAGTTGCTTAATGGGACTCTTGCTTGAATCAGAGCTAAACGACATCAGCTTGGTTTAGGAAAGGGGACTGGTCTTGTCTGTTTGGAGTCAGTTGGACCACAACCAATGACGAACTGGGCTCGGGAGGTTCAGTTGGTTCAGCTCAGTCTGCGTTCCAGAGACTCTTCTGAAGATCAATTCCGAAGAGTTCTTGTCATTGCTTTGGGACTGTGTTTTTTTTTTTGCTCTGAGTAGGTCAGTTCATAGGCAGCTGAGAATGGAGCTGGTCCTTGTGTGTCTAGGGGAAAAAAAAAAAACTACAAAAATGAACAAACATCTAACTATAAATTTGCTCTCAAAAACGAAAGTAGAAAGAGAGGAAAAGAATTTGCACGCACGATAACTTTGGAAAATTGTACAGAAACGAGGGGCAGCGCCCTGAAGTGAAAGGCAAGAAAAAGAAAGTTTTGTCACAGAGTTCTGCATCTCTTGTTTTAAAGTACCTTCTCCTTGAACAAAGGAGTGTTTGGGTTTTTATATCCCAGGGGGATGGCAGTATCTAGGGGTCTTGATCACGCCCCAAGGGATCAGAAAACCTCTAAACTTTCACAAATTAAAGAATATTGCAGGGCATAATTATTAGGTTAGCTCCTCACCATAATCTTGACATGAGAGTGTATGGTGTAATAACTTGTATTCAGTATCATATAATTCACATACAGACAATTCCCTAATTATCTAATAAATGCATAAACCTGCATATCTAAAGTGATGTGGACTGCAGGCACCTTGATTCGAACCTTCAACCTTCTGGTTGGGAGACAACCACTCTACCCACTGAACCACAGTCTAGGAATCATAAGTAGACCTGCACTCTTGAGAGTGAAGTGCTCTGTTGGGATGATAAGGCACTATGAGGTCATTAAGATATAATGGAGCCTTGTGATTAAGGGCTAATAGTATTGCCTAAAGAGAGCATGTATAAAGTGAAGAGAACTGGACCTAGGTAACTTTAATTTGCATAGAAGATTCATCATTAACATAAACAAATTGAAATCTTTCTGATAAATAAGATTTGAACCAACTTAGTGCAGTTCCTTTAATCCCAATAACATGTTCTAGTCTCTGTAGTAAGATGTTGTGATCAATGGTGTCAAAAGCAGCACTGAGATCTAAGAGGACAAGTATAGAGACGGGTCCTTTGTCTGAGGCTCGGAAGAGATAGTTGGTGACTTTCACCAATGCGGTTTCTGTACTATGATGGACTCTAAATCCTGATTGAAAATCCTCAAACAAATCATTCTTGCGCAAGTGGTCACATAACTGCTTAGCAACAGCTTTTTCAAGGATTTTAGAAATAAAGGGGAGATTGGATATTGGTCTATAATTAGCTAGGACACCTGGGTCAAGAGTAGGCTTTTTGAGTAGAGGTTTAATTACTGCAACCTTAAAAGCCTGTGGAACATAACCTGTTAATAGAGAGAGGTTAATCACATCTAATATTGACATGTTGATTAGGGGTAAAACGTCTTTGAGCAGTCTGTTTGGGATGAAGTCTAAGGGACATGTTGATGATTTAGATGAAGCAATTGTTGAGGTCAACTCAGAGAGATCTATGGGTGAGAAGCAATCTGAATATAAATGACATACAGATGTTTCTAAAGCCGTTGTACTTGATGATACATCTGTGAGAGTTGTGGGAAGGATCTCATTAATTTTTTTCTCTAATAGTTGTGATTTTATTTGTAAAGAAGCTCATGAAGTCATTGCTGCTGAGATCTAAGGGAATGTTAAGCTCAACAGCACTGTGGCTCTTTGTCAGCCTGGCTACAGTGCTGAAAAGAAACCTGGGGTTGTTCTTATTTTCCTCAATCAGTGATGAATAATATGTGGTTCTGGCACTATGAAGGGCTTTCTTATATGTTATTAAACTATCTTTGCAGACTAGGAAAAGCTCTTCTGACTTAAGTGGAGTGCCACCTTCTTTCCAGTTTTCGTGATGCCTGCTTTAGGGAGCGGAGCTGCGAGCTGTACCATGGGGCTAGCCTCCTCTGTTTCACTGCCTTCTTTTTCAAAGAGGCAACAGTATCCAGTGTATTACGCAGGAAGGCTGCAGCACTATCAACAAGATATCTACTTGTGTGGGAGTAAAGTTAAGGTGGTCGCCATCCATTGTGTTGGCAAATGGCACTGAAGTAAATATTCATGGAATTATTTCCCTAAATATGGTAACAGAATTGTCAGACCTCTACTGTGGTGGAATTGTTTCCCACACAGTATATAATCCATTAATATAAGTTCAAAAGTTATTAGAAAATGGTCAGACAGAAGAGAGTTTTGAGGAAAAACTATCATGTGTTCAGTTTCTATGCCATATGTCAGAGCCTGATCAAGGGTGTGATTAAAACAGTGAGTGGGTTTATTTACAGTTTGGCACAAGCCAGTTGAGTCTATTAATGAATTAAATGCACTTTTGTGGTTGTCATTGTCAGCATCTACATTATTATTGATTATTACATGATTATTTTATATGTACTAAGCACTAAACCTCTGAATAGTCGGGTGGATTCATTTAGATTGACATTCTTCCTGCTGTAACCAGGGTTCAGTAAGACAAAATAAATTAATATGATGCTTACTTATCAAATCTTATCACTAACACAGATTTAGATGAGACAGAGCTGATATTTAATAGTCGAGCCTTTCCCTGGTTATTGGAGTTAGTTGTTAGTAGTAGTTTGCAGTGGTATTCTATTTTACAAACTGTTGATGTACTACTAAACTTCAAAAGTGAGGTACGTACAGTACTGAATCATAATTTTGTGTACCGTTACACCTATAGTTTGTGTACTTGCATGTATTTTATCTCCCTTATTTGTAATAATTGATGCAGCATACAAATGAACTTACAATAACTCTCTTCCTTAACTTGGCGTTTTCTTTCATAACCCTTTTAAAAGGTAAAAATAGTACATTGCACTCTAAAAGGAGCATATTGTTAAAAACACACAAAAGCAACAATCACAAATAAACTACCTTCTGCTTTAATAATCTTTTTATTTTTGTAAGTGCAAATAAAGCAGTTGAGAGCAAATCTGTAGCATTTTATTTGTTGCTGTAAAAACTGAAAAGGGTATTAAAATAGGCAGTTTTGTAATTGCATTGAGTGTTTGTGTGACTCGGTCCAAGGTTTCTCCCGACATTTTTAATCAGAGAACTACTTTCACAAAATGAAAGTGGCTGAGAGCTACTCATTTTTAATTTTAGGCTACTAGTTATATTTATTAACATATTGTATCAAACCTTTCAAACACATATCCAAACCAAACCAGCTGAATAAGCTAGTTGTTTTATGTAATCAGGTATTAATATCTAACACATTTTGTATCAAAAATATAAAAAACATTAGTCATCACATAAAGTTGCCAAGCTCACAGGCACCTCTTTTCACAAATGAAATCCTTAATTTATACAGTAGATTGCATGTAGGCAATGGTACAGTAGCTGTGTGATTTTTGCAATTTTGGATTGTAAAAACAAAAATTTGGTTCTTGTAGTTTGAGCTCCTGAACAACATTGGAGGTAATTAAGTTAGGCTGTTTCAAACCCCTTGGTGCCTGACTGCCGCAGTTTGATAAAAAAAAAAAATCACTTACTCAGTCTTAACTAAACACACAGACATAGAATGTGTTAGTTAAATATTCCGAGGACATCATCATCAGATGTCCACTACAAATGAACGTCCACAGCCCTGCCTAGAAATCGTAGAAAAAGACATTACTTCCAAGGGTACATAGCAAACAGCAGTTGCGTAGTGTTACTTTACTGAAAGGTAGCCTAAAAATGCTGCACGCCACAGCATAACTAACAGAACCCATGGCAAAATGCCTCCTGTTTATTGTACATTAAATGTTTATTGTTTCATTTAATTGAAGACTTTTAATGCTTAATGCAGTATTTTCCAAAAGAGGTGCAAACATCAATGAATGGTGTAACTAACATAAACAAACTTGACAGCAGTGTAATTCATTTGACAGTTGATTGGAAAAGGATAATTTGGTGTCAAAGTAGGGCAGGACATTTGTGGAGCTATTTGATTGGATTGCAGTTTGAGCAGGTTTACTGAGCTCTGTTGTGTAATGTTTGTATGCATGAATTGTAGGCTACTGTGTATTCTCTGAACCTTTAGGTGAGCTGCTCAGAATTGGGGAGTGAGCTACTGGTTGTTTGTGAGTGGCTTGTTGGAGCTCTCTGCTCTATCCACATGCAGTAGATGTGTTGTGGTTTGATCTAGCATTGGGAAATGTTGGCAGTGCTGTTCACAGGGCTCTTTATGAACTTTTGCATAGTATTCAGTGTGATGGATCAAGAATTCCTCTCCACATTGATGTCCCGACCTCACCAGCTTGTTCATAACATGTCTTGGTGAGTAGTGTGTCTGTTTTGTTTTGTGTGACTTTGTCTTTTTTAGCACAGCTGGGGAAACATGTGGCCCTCAGCAGACTGCATTAATGTGTTTGTGTAGCTGTTACAGAGGTTGCACAGTTAAATCAGAAATTTTGCAACAACTGCTGCTGTCCCAGTGGCTCATTGCAAAACAAGGCACTAACATTAACTGCATTCATTAATTTCATTCATTACTACAAAAAAAAAAAAAACCCCACAAAATGTTTTAACAAAAGAGCAGTAATGCCATTGGTTTCTACGTGTTGATCACTGTGGTATTATGTGGAACACTGTTTTGACTATATTTAGAGATGCTCCAATACCACCCTCTAGTATTTGTACTCGTAAAAATTCCACCCACACTTCCTGACACCCAAGTTATTAGATGAGGGGGGGGGAGAGCATGAGGGACAAAAGATTAAATCTGGACACACATCTCTGACCCATGATATGATTCTGCTATCCACTACAGAGCACATGCTGATGTTTAAACTTGGTTTTACATGACCGGTGAGGTTATGCTACCACAAATCACTGTGTATGACTCAAGTTTAAGAAGACTTATCAAAAATATTTTCCTTTTTTACAGAAAGAAAAAATATTTTGATATACATTAAAATGCATACAGGGACACAGGCATACAACTTGAAAATGTATTTTATATTTCATTGTGTCTTTAGACATGTAAACCACTAACTTTTTTTAAAACTCAGGTCTTCATTGTGCAGTTTATAACTCGGGTCTTCAGTGTGCAGTTTACTGATTACTTCCTTTGCCACATCAATCTCATTTAGGATTAAAGTTATTTATTTACAAGGTTTTTTTAGAAGAACTTTGATGCAGGCAGTGTATTCTAGAGGAACAGATTCTATAGTTTGATTAATAACCAACTAAACATAAAATCTTCAGTCTTTTTACATGTATATCTTCAGTGTAGAACCACAACTCAGTGTGTACTTATGCAGCCCTTTGCCCCCTCTTATGTGTTCATAACAGATGTGGCAGGTGAGCCTGCAGCCCTCCACAGACAGCGGTCTCTGCCCCATCGGCCGCCCCTCATCCCACTAGTGGCTCGCATGGCTGACCAGAACACATCTGGCACCCTAGCCATGACTGAGAGGGAAGCGTCTCGTCTGGATAAGTTCAGACAGCTGTTGGCCGGTCCCAACACAGATCTGGGTAAGAAATGTTTTGCTCTACATTTCTCAGCTTTTGTCTAGTTTTGCCTTTTTTGCTTTTTGTTTTCTAAGCTCCCTCACCTTTTTTTTTTAAATTTCCTTGCACTCTCTGCTTCTCACTCTTAGTTTGCTCACTCTCAGTTTGCCAGCTGTGCAGCGCTTTTAACGATGCTGTGAGGGGGAAAGTCATCCAGCCATCTGGACATGCAGATTACAAGAAGAAAAAATACCACAAGCAACAAAAGCAAATGACAGGCCTTTGTTCTAACCAAATGACAGGTCTTTATTGTTTATCCAGCCCTAGAGACTTTGTTTGCTATTCCTGTGGCTTGCAGACCTCGCTCTTTACAGTTGACTTTGTGTCCTTTGAAACTAACTTTTGGTGACTGCTACTCAACTACTTGTCACATTAACTACATTGTTTTAACTAGATAAACTCCATCCACATGTTGGTCAGATGAGATTGTAAATTGAACTTGTCTGAGTGCCAATGTTGAATGTTAAGATCTAGCCATTAGTCTGTAATTTACAGACAGGATGTTTTGTGGTGACATGCCTCTGCTGGTCAGTAGGAGCAGTAACTGCCATGCACATGTTACAGAAGCATCTGTAGTTAAATCTAGTATCACAGGAGTACAGGTCAGCCCTTCATACAGAGAAAAAAAAGACAGCTGGACTGCAGTACTCTGACATACTATAGGGCAGCCACAGTGGTGCAGTCTTAACAAGTGAGCACCCATTCCCTGCTCCCTTGCGCCCCAGAACTTGATTTGGTACTGAGAGGTACCGAAATTTAGCTCGTGGAACTCACCTCCAGAATGGGTGGACGACACTGGAAACAAAAGCAGAACCTGTTTGCCCTTAGGTGTGAGTGTGAATGGCTGTCTGTCTCTTTGTGTCAACCCTGTGATAGATTAGCAACCTGTTCAGGGTAGGGCTGTCACTTTTCATTCCAATTTTGAACATATGTTTGAATGTGGTAAAAAAAAAAAAAAAAAATTAATTTGAAATGTAATGACCTGTTTAAATTAAAAAAGTATGCTATGTCAATAAGCGCAACAAGCCGTTTGATGTAATTTGCCTTTTGGTCCAGCAGAGGAGGATGTTAAATTTCACTTATCAGCTTGACCAGTTACATGTCCTGTTGACCTCTCAGTAAAGTAAGCTAGTAAAGGCTGGAAACCATTATAAAGCCTCATCCGGTTCTTTCAAACCAGGAACTCCGAGGGACGACTCAGACCACTTGAGTATATAAAAAATATAACCGTGCTGGTTTATTCAAAGAGTCACAGGCAAGAATTCACACTTCCAGTCCAGAGATCTTCCAA